AAGTTTGTCTGTCCTTCTTTGTGTGTGTGTGTGTTTTTGTGTGTGTGTGTGTGTCCGTCTGTTTGTCTAACAATCTGTGTGTGTGTGTGTGTGTATGTGTGTGTGTGTATGTGTGTGTGTGTATCTGTCCGTCTGTCTGTCTGTCTGTCTGTCCGTCTGTTTGTGTGTCTGTCTGACTGTCTGTCCGTCTGTCCGTCTGTCTGTCTGTGTGTTGTGTGTGTGTGTGTGTGTGTATGTATGTGTGTGTGTGTGTGTGTGTCTGTCTGTCCGTCTGTTTGTCTGTCTATCTGTATGTGTGTCTATGTGTGTGTGTGTATCTGTTTGTCCGTCTGTCTGTCTGTCTGTCTATCTGTCAGTGTGTTTGTCTGTCTGGTTTGTAAGTGGATGAACCGATAGGCGAAGTCTGTCTGTCCTTCTGTCTGTCTGTTTGTCTGTCTGTCTGTCTGTCTGTCTGACTGCCTGTGTGTCTGTCTGTCTGTCTGTCTGACTGCCTGTGTGTCTGTCTGTCTGTCTGTTTGTCTCTTTCTTTCTTTCTCTTTCTCTCTCTTTCGTTCTTTATTTCTTTCTTTGTCTAACATGTTTCTTTTTCTTTTCTTTTTTTTTTCCTTTCATTCCTTCTTTCTTTCTTTCTTTCTTTCTTTCTTTCTTTCTTTCTGGCATGCACCCTTAAAGTTGGCTACTGCGTGCTAGAAACTGGCATGCACCCTTAAAGTTGACACACACACACACACACACACACACACACACACATTTTGGCATGCACCCTTAAAGTTGGCGACTGCGTGCCAGAAACTGACGAATGATTACCGTTGTGACTTCAAATGGCACGCAGTAGCCAACCTGAAGTCGGACACGCTAACACATGCACAAGCAAACACGCATAACAAATGCACACACACACACAGGGATATATAGAAAGACTCACACACACACACACACAAATTTTGACATGCACCCTTAACGTTGGCTACTGCGTGCCAGAAACTGACCAATGATTACCGTTGCGACTTCGAATGGCACGCAGTAGCCAACTTGGGAACAGACACGCAGACACACGCACAGATCATTCATACACACACATCCATAGACATATACTCAAAGACACACAGACATCCACAGAGGTTCATACATAGACGCCACACACACACACACACACACACACACACATGTCGATGACGTCATTGTGCGTTTTCGCTGCCAGAGAGAAGAGGACGAAAGAGAAACCGTACGCATCATGTCGATGTCAGTAGCACAGGTGGAGGCTGCTCTTGCAGAGGTAATGAAGTATGCAAAAAAAAGTGTCCACTACAACGGTGACAGCGAGTTGTCTTTGCTTCAGGACAGGGTGTCGAGATACTTCATAGTCGCTGTGGATATGAGATCCACAATCATGGCAAACGGCGAGGGCTGTGTCAAAGCACGAACACTCTTGCAACGCTTCAGAGAGTCACCACATGTACATATGGACAGGGATGTGGAAGACAATGCATATAGTCTAAAAGGAGTGGTCTAGTGGATCTGCAGCGAAAGCATGTGCGAAGAAGGAGATGTGGACATGACAATGCAGCAAGCAGGGAGAACATATACACTTACGAACTTGGGCAAGTTGTCGGGCACTGTCGCACGGAATGGGGGAATGCTGGTTGATGGGTCGAAGGACGAGTTGAAGAGTGGTGCTGCAGAAATATTGGTGTTGTCCAGAATGAAGGACATTACACAAACACCGCCAGAAGACTTTCAAGATGTTCCTTTCAAGATGTTCCTTTCAAGTGTGGAATATATTTTGATGGATCAACTTGTGGACTTCATGAAAAAGAGTGACGACGACAGGAACGTCATCCATGAGGCGTTGCACGAAGTGACAGAGTTTGCACTGCAGGGTCAAGATCTGATAGAATTTGTGCCAGCAATAACAGAAGACAGCATCATATCTGGCAGACCGTTGTGAGGAGAGTTGTTATCAGCTGCTTTGGAGCGGCTCGGTCTTGCAAGCTGCGATGTTGAGACACAAAGAGAAAGAGAAGAAGGGTGGAAGGTGATGGTCACGGAAACAAATTTAGCAATCATTCCAGACAACGGACAAACATCAGCAGCACAAGAATCAATAACCAGTATGGCAGTCGATGTGCCTCCCATGCCGACAGCAACGAGAGAGCAGCTAGTGTGTTGCGATATCTTCAATGCTTTTACAATGGAGAAAGAACAGTGTGATCGTGGATTTGAAGAGGCCAATTTGCCAAGTTGTTGTGCAGAGTACACAGACAGTACAGAAGAAGAAGATGAAGAAGAGGATGAGGGGGCATCATCTTCTGACGTGGAAGTGAGCGGCAGCGATGTCATCAGCGACGAGGAAGACGAGGAACATGATGTATATTATGATTTGAAGGCTGCGGGTGGACAAGTGACAAAAGGGTGGGCATATCCAATTCTGAGGTTGACACGTGTTTTTCCTGATCCGCACAAAGTGCTACGTGTTGTGATGAAGGGGGCAACACTAGATGGTGCACTACAGTATGCCGCAGTGACCAGCATAATGAAATCATGCAACAAGGGGGAAAAATGGTCACGTGTTGGCAGGGGATGGTTTGTTCTGGTCAATAGAGAGGCTGTGCTAGCAACGTCACTGACATGGGGAGTGAACCTGAGTTGCCTCATACACGGCGCAATAACGACAGTTTGGGGAGAGATATTACACCCCGACTTGTCAACAGGAGACGCAATAGTTAGTGCTCGGCTACGGCAGCGACCGGAGACACACCCACACACCACTACAGACCATGTTAGACATCAGGGATGATGACAGACATGCATCCCTCAACCTGTACATCCCTCTATGTCTTCCTCAATTTCAACGACGGTCGAGTTCACTACTGCGTGCCATATCAGTGTCCACCAGTGCTGTTTGTTGTCGTTTTGGCCCGCACTAGTGAACCTCCTCTCTCTCTCTCTCTCTCTCTATATATATATATATATATATATATATATATATATATATATCTTTCTCTCTCTTTCTCATATGTCGAGTTGTAGCTATATTAGAACCTCTACATCCATCTGTGGGTTACATTTAATGCTGCCTGTTGTTTGCCTCTCCAAGAGAGAGAGAGTTCACTACAGCGTGCAAACACAGGATTCAACAATATTTCAATCATTTGATGATTGTTACGATGTATGTCATAATTTGTTGTGTTTTGGAGTACGTGAGACACATCAGACCCCCTGTGATGACCAATGTGTGTATGTTGTGTTTTTTTTTGCATTCTCTGTAATTTAAATTCAAATGTAGTAGATTGTGAAATGTTTTGGAAGTTTGTGCGGAGGTCGGCTGAGGTGCCGAGGTGCAATCATTTTCACGCGGACATGGAAAACACATACCACATTCACAAACGTCGTGGATGGATAGTTACGAACTTGGTCAGCCGCAAAACCGTGGTGATGAATGTTGTGTCATATATCGTGTACCATGCATAAGTCGTTACCTCTTCGTGCACGACCATAAAACCTGTCATGGCATATAAATTATCATGTCGCACGGTTGACTACTAATCTTTGTCAATTGGGATCAGCGACACAGACCATTTGTACCAAAAACGGCAATCAGTACTCCCTCTCTATCTCTTTCTCACAAAGAAGAGGATGTGCGACTCTTACACAATATAACAAAATATGCTCTGCAACTTATAATTTTAACGACCTGAACCAATCTACAAAATGTTAATGAAAACACTGTTCGCACCGCTCTGTTTGTTTTTGGAATGCACTGCGTGCACAGAAAATGGACAGCGGTCCACGGGTGTGCGACTGTGGTAGGCCTTTCATGTCATTACGAACTTTGAACTCACATCGTGCGAGGGCATGCCCGGCCGTGGCGGACGAAAGAACACATGGCCAGGAGATGGGTGTGGTCGATGACGCCGGAGCATCAAGTATAGGTGCAGTGAATCTCGTGAGCGATGAGAGCGAGGACGTCGGGGCCCCCGAGAATGTAGACGGCGAGGGCGGGATATTCGAAGAGCAGCAACCGCAGCCTGTCGAATCTTTTAACAACTCTCGCAAGCTGGCGGCACTGATTTTCTCCGCCAGGGGCGGCGTCGGTATGTCGCAGAGCGATCTCTTGTCACTTCTCACAGACCAAAGATTCTGCACGAGAGATATTGCGTATCGTAATAGTCGAGAGTGTTTGACATGGGCAGGGAGTCTAGCAGACGCTGCTGGATGGAAAGAGTTCGATCTACGTTGTGACGATTGGCCACGGGATGCGCACGCCATTTTGTGGCACCGCGACTGGCGAACGACATTTCTGTCAATTTTTCATATCACATTACAGAAATGCGAGACGGTGTCTTCTCTAGAAGTGTCTCCGCCGTCAGAGCACCTCAGTATATCCGGCCCATGCAGCGGGGCGCTAAGTTATCACATCCAGTCGATCATTCGAGCGGACAAAGGCGTGGACGAGAATGGTAATCCACGTTATGTTATCCCTTTTTCATTGTATTCCGACAAGACACGTACAGACGGTCGTCAAGAACAGACGGCGTACCCTCTGATGATGTCACTAGCCGACCACGCATCCGAAGCCACGCTGTTGGCCTATCTTCCTGTGCTTCATCATCGTCCGCGTGACAAAGGATGGGGTCTGCAGTCCACCGCATTCAGAAAGCGAAAGACCATCATTTTGCACAAGGCCCTTTCAGTGGTGTTGCAGTTTGCGAATGAGGCATCTCATGACGGAATAATGATACCGACAACGCGATTCGGGGACATAACTGTCTACCTTTTCCTCCTCAACTATATCCAGGACTACCCAGAATGATGTGCGATTGCAACTGTGAAGTTTGATGTATTTCCGATATGCACCGTGTCCAAAAACGATTTTGATGTCATAGCCGATTTCACAGATTGCAGGAGATCACAAACGCTGGAAACACACCTCACAGCAGATGTGTTAACCGCCGACGACATCGACGTTCGCCGTGCATCGGAAGCACGAATGCCGGAGTTGAACATGCATAGGCATGTTCAACAGAACGGCCTTTGGGGGTTCTACAGGGGCCCCAATGGTGACGATCCTCAGCTAGACTACCACCTGGCATTGCAACCAGACCGTATGCACACAATCGAGCACAACATATTCCTGCACATGATTGACGCATTCAGGACCGCAGCCTTTGAGAAGTTGCCGCATCTACCGCAAACAGAGATCCTGAAGGAACTAGATGCAAGGTTGCAACGCGTTAGTGAGAGATGCACGCGAACATACCCCCAACTTGTGTTGCCGATGGCCACTTGCAGCGACTTTTTTTCGAGGGAGGGACGGTTCGAGGCGAAGCAAAACCGGTCTGTGATGACAGTGTGCATGTTCCTTATTTCTAATATTATATTGCGCTCGACAGGCAAGAGCATTACCGTTTGTTTTGTGAAACTGATGGAAATGTACATACGAGTGTTTCAGCATACAACACAGTCGTGCTTCGCTCGATGAATGTGATGCTTTGATCACGGACTTCGTAACGACCATCAAAGGAAAATTGGAAAAATATCAACCATCAACATGGAAACTCCCCAAGTTGCACGATTTCATGCATCTGACAACGTGTATTGAGCGATCCGGTGTCCCCGACACCTTCGCGGCAGATGTTTGGGAGCATCACCACAAGAAATTCTGCAAACAGCCATACTTGTCATCAAACAAGCGGAAAGCTTCAACCCAGATGGTAAACCATGTGCGCCGGTCATTGGCGTTGCGCGAAGAGATCGGGATCGTGAGGAAACGGAGGAAGAGAACGGTTGAGAACCGGTCGTCCGTGACAGACTGTATGACCGCCAGAATGAACACCCTCGACTGTTGCAACTGCAGTGGTTCGACATCGATGACGAGTACATACGCGAGGGAGAAGGCATTGACAACCATGCGTGCAAGATACTCGAAGAGTTTCCTTGCATACGTGATTTTCGAGCTGCACTTAGGACATACATGGTGGAGAATGGTTGTCAACCTCCGTCTGACGACCTTCTTATGCACACACGGCCACACCTGGTCATCGCTTGCGTACAGGACGGAACAAACGGAGGTACACTTGTTCAAACCGCAAGAGCGTCGCCACAATTCCATAGGAGACCACTGCACAGTGACGTCGCAATTAGAGCAGGCAACGAATGCACATGGTTTGCATCAGTAGCCATGTTTTTTGTCGTGGACGCACCTGCGGACAACGGTAATATGGAACACAACTGTGGATTTGTGCAATGGCACAAGGAGGTCGACAGTGAACGGCAACACATGACAGGTTGCAAGAATTTGAAATGGGAGAAGTTGAATGGGCATCAACACAGTAGCGTGGTTTCGACCGACACTATTGTAGACATAGTTCACATTGTTCCGCGCTTCTCTAAACCACAATGGGGATCGAAGCAGCATGCAAAAGAGCATTGAGACTGTTTTTATGTGAACAAGTACATATTGTAGAAGAAACAAATGCAAACTAAGTTTCTATGTTTGCTAAGAGAGAGGAGAGAGAGAGAGAGAGAGTTTTTATCTGTCGTCGCCACATGACAGTCATGTTGTTTCTTCCGAAGTATAGGGGAACAAGAGAGGACATTCGTCTCTTTCTTTCCGTTATTTGTTGAGAAATATCATGTCAAATGTGGCCAAGCTTATGAAGCGGTGAAAACCACATGCGAGACGAAAGTGTCCCCAAAAGTTCGCTACTGCGTGACATTTACGTGGTCAACAGTGATAGTCGTTTCAGTTTTGACACGCAGTACCCAACCTCTCTCTTTCTCTCTCTCTCTCTGAAATATCCTATAAAAATGATTTGAAGTTGTTAAAAAAATTAACAAATCGTCTGTGTCATTCCAATTTGAACGACACGTGTGAACAGGAACAGAAACTTATGACGTCGCGCAGCGTTCGGGAAGGAGCGACACAGAACACTGAACAACAGGGTGCAGGTAAGAGAAGCCGAGCGAGGATGACAGAGTCACAAAAAAGTAATACGTGTGGTGACGGCGCGAAGTGCTCATATGTGGGTACGGAACCGGTCATCGGTCCAAGGATGGAAAATAAAGACGAACAGCACCGTGGAGAGGTGGCAAGCGAACCGTTGTTGTCATTGACCAGTGAGAGGTCGGCAAAGAGGTGGCAGAAAATGTTGACGGACCCTTGGTACTCGGAAATGTACGATATAATGGCAGAGGGTGAAGCAAAGTCTCCCCAGTTGATAGACTAAGGGAAAAGCGAAAGTAGGGGACATGACGAGCACGAGAGAAGAGCAGACTGACATTAATGATAACGACGAATTGACCGTCGGCTTGACCGTTGAGGTAGTCAAAGGACGATGCGAGGAAAGTTCACTACTGCGGGCATTTGTTACATAAAAATCGGTGGCTTCACCAGTTGATTGGCCCGCAGTAGCCAACCTTCTCGCGGTGATGGTCGGGGGACATGTTCGAAGTTTTTCTTTGCTCGCTATTTTTTTGTTATTGTGACTATGCCAATCTGTGCCGCCTGACAATACGGATACAGTGATTCTGACGCACAAAGAGGTTGGTAACTTAAATGACGTCGCAGTATCAACAATAAGATCTTGGTTGTACCTCTCTTTCTCTCTCTCTCTCTCTCTCTCTCTCTCTCTCTCTCTCTCTCTCCCC